ATGCTGATGTCGACCCAGAGTATCAATTTCTGTGTTACAAGTGTCGACGTTTTTAAATTGTGTTGAAAAACCAGAGTTATGATAAAAAATATATATGCTATGTTTTCTCCTGAATAATCGAACTCTGGAGTTTACTGTGGGAAGCGTCGAATGACCTCTCTGCTTGCAAGCAAAAACAACCCCCCCAAAACCCCCCAAACCCCACCCTTTCCTGTTTGTGGAAAATATACCATGTTGACCAATCAAAAAATGGCATTTGGTTGTTTGGGAAGAGGGCGAGTTTTAGGAGTGACGGCGGTGAGAGAGAGATTTGTGACATTTAGTGTGTAGTGTAGTGGATAGTGCTGTTGTGTGTGTCAGAACAACGAGGCGACTGCTGAAGGTCACAGCTGCTGCCAAAAAGCCACCAAAGGCAGATTACAGTGTAAACGCTGTCTGCAGGTGGAGACAGGAGCAGTGACACACCTGCTGCTGTCAGGCTGCAGGTATCAGGCTGTGATGTGCTTTTTTATCTCACAGTGGACAGAAATGATTTTTGGGAGGGGCACAATTAGATCGTGTGGCATCTTATTTGATGCAGAACAGCTGATTGTTCTGTAAATAGTTTCAATGGTTATAAAATAACAGCTTGGCTGCATTTTAGGTAAATAGCTGCAAATAACTTTGTTGTTTGTAAAACTTGTGCATAGGTCTATAAAACTTACATTTTATGTTTGCATTTCAAGTTAAGAGAATGATTTTTAATGTTCGTGGTTGTTACAGTAAAAATATAACTTTTTCTACTCGGATTTTATATTTTCTGTCTGGTTTCAGATCAGCTGTGCTGATACAGTATGTCAAATGAAAAAATAACTGTAAATTCAGACGTGTGAGGTTGTGCTGAAACAACGGTACCAAACAAAACAAGGCAGGAAAAATCGTTTTTAAAGGCGAAACAACAAGTAGTCAAAAACGCCCTCGACCACAGAGGGATGAACATTGTTTAAAGTAACACAATAGTTACTTTTCCTAGTAATTAGTTACTTTATAATATTGTAACTCAGTTGCTAACATAGTTACTTTAACTGTGTTAAGTAACTATAACTACTTTTCTTGTTTGTTTGTTAGCCTGTTGGCGCAGTGGTGGGCGTGTTTTATAAGCGCTCTTTACATGGCTTTAACTTTGTTACCATTTTAGACCAAATTAAGGCAAAAATGGTTTTGAAAGAAGCGAAGACGAACTTTACTGGGCAGCACAAAGTACTGCTGTCTGAAAAGCAGCACTGCCTCGATCTTACCATATGCGCCACACATTATCGTTACTCCTCAACCATTTTTACAGAAAATTCAAATGGTTCATGAATCAGTTTGTTTTGCCACAATTATAAAATAAGTGCAGGTTGATTCTGTTTACCTGGACGCAGCGTTTCGTCACTCATCCAGGTGACGTCTTGGAGACTGAAGAAGTCAGGCTACGTTGAAATGAAGAGACTCGCTCTGATTTACTTACCTGGATGATTGAGCATCAGGACGGTTAAACGCGATGTTTTAACACCAGCACCTCTCTTTTAGGTCAACGCCAATGAACTGACAAACGGTGTGATCAACGCAGCCTTCATGCTTCTGTTTAAAGATGCGATCCGGCTGTTTGCGGCCTACAACGAGAGCATAATCAACCTGCTGGGTAAGAACAGCTTGTTTTTTGTCATCCTGTTATTTTACCTTTACAGGACCTTTTACTAGATGAGGCTCTCCACCTTATTTTAGACATTTATACACAGCTTTAATTAACAGAGTTTTATGATGAATGTTTAGGAATTACAGACATTTTTATTTTAAGAGGCACAAAAGTAATTGGGCAGTTGAATGACATGAAGTTTAATGGTGTCCTTGTTATTGTATTGTATGACAGATTAGGGAGATAAAACATCTGGACGAGTTTCTAGTGTTGAATTCGTATTTGGTAGCTGTTGACTGGAAGTAATGGTTCCAGATACTCTACTGGTCAATAGATAACAGCCCAGTTTTTCCAGTTATTTATTGCAATTCAAGTTGTTCAAATCCAATGAATAGCTTGAAATGGTACAAAGGTAAGTGTTGAACTTCCAGAGTGCAAACAGAAAAATAATGCACATTCAGAAAATGTCCTTTTTCAGGGAACAAAAATAACAGTTTAAAGCTGTTGTGCAACAGTGGAGGTTGATCCAGCCTTGAAAGCTGCTACTGAGTCCTACAGCTGT